TAGATGATCTCTGGAGGCCCCTTCCAACCTCAACCATTCTGTGATTCTGTAATAAACTGTGCCAAAGATGATACCATGCTGAAACACCAACTGCAGTCACTGCAGTCAACACTATAACTCATGTTAACAGGACTGCTCTGCAGAAGCAAAGAGGTAGGGTTCATAATCCCTTCCTCCAGCTGCTATCTGAAGGCAAAGGAATTTCCTAGTTACAGAACAGACTAGTTCTCAAATAGTCTAATGATATATGAACAAATTTACACACACATCTTTTAATCCATCTAATTAAAGAATAATAATTGCTAGTACACGTTAAGGTCAAAAGAAAGGCTGAGATTCTAGAACAGAACTATTTGATTTTTTCCCCCCGGGGTATGTGGTAAGTACTTCGGCCGACACGTACTGATCAGAAGAAACATACAAAGTACACCTCTGTCATCAATGGCATATGGGAGAGGTGGAGCAGTTGTATCTAGCGACTCGACTGCACTTGACTTCTCCTCCCTTCCATCCCATCGGGTTGCCAGCACGCCAATGCTACGCTAGACCTTTCATGCATAGTCACTCCTAACCAGCTGCCCTCTACTGAGCTACCTCTGTTATTTGGCACTAAGGGCGCAAATAACATGAAATCTGTCACAGCCTTCCCAGCTCTTGCAACTTCAATCAGCGTATTGCTGGCTTCTGTAATACTCCCGAAGTCAAACAAGAAGTGAAATAAAATCACAACCTTTTGAAAGAAACACACTGTTTCAAAGCTCAATCCTTACCTCGAGTACTGACTGTCTATTTTTTAAAATTTAATTAATCACCAGTACAGCTCCTGAGTGTTGACTTCAAAATCCAGGTACACAAGCATATAGTAAAGAGCACCTAGCAAGCTAGCAGCACCAGCAATAAATCTTTTTGACAAGAACCTACAACAGCTGCTTCATGGATCTCACACAAATCTTTAGGACCATTGACCATTAGTTTGACAGCTTTGACAGTCAACGCCCAGCACAAAGAGTAAAAGTTTGCTAACAGCTCTCAAAGAGGTTTTCCAGCATTTCAGATTACGTAAAACTAAAAGAACTAAAACTAATAGAAATTCATATCCAACAAATTTAATTTTTCCCCTTTGCATAGGGTGGCTCCTATGTGGCACAAAACACTGCCTAGCAACATTGCCTAGCAATGGCAAGGCACTAGCAAATGGAATCTATCTCGGTATTGACACAACCAGCACGACTCAAGTTAAAATGAAATGGTTCAATGATAACTGCATGGGGGGAGAAAAAAGGTCTTCCAGCAGCTCTTAGTGGCTTTTTAAAGTGCTTTCCTCAACTGTTATTTATTTATTTTGTTGACAAGGATCACTCTGCTACTAATATTTTTGCTCTTTGGAAAGTCTTGTGACTGGCCAAGTACAGTTTTGGGGGTTTTTCAGCATCACACCATACCCTCAGCTTGGTT